AACTTGGGACACCAAATAAACTATCCCAAGTGGCGACTCTCAACAAAATTGAATAAATTAATCTCATTTCGAATAATGTCACTTTAATTGGAAAAACTCTCTTGTACTACCTTCGGGTGTGTAAAAAGGAGGTGCGACAGTTGTCAAATCATTTAATAGAAAATTAATTACAGTTACTCCATATTGTTAGTTCACAAAATTAAATCTTGTCTAGACTATTGAATGGTCACTCATTCAAAGCCATTTTACTCGAAATATGTGAAGGCTTTGGATTCTCGATCTAAGTTGTTGGCTTACCCTTTCTATCATGATTTTAGGTCGGGTGGTGTGATTAAGGCTGTATTGTGGTCCGGGCCCGGGCTTGAGGCGGGCCGGGCTGAGGCGATCTAGGGTCAAACGGTCCCAATGTGTGGAACCGGCCCACGGTGGTCCTAAGCCCACATGGTCCCGTGCTAAATGGGTCGGGCCTAACGGGCTATTTTTAAAAAAAAATTATCTAAGGCACTTCCTTGTAAACTATATATGTATATACTAGTATATATTGCTTATATATAGCTATATAAATATATATAGTATATATAGTATATATAGTATGTATAGTATGTATATATAAGGGTGTATTATGTGTATATATAATTATATATTACCTTATATATATGTATGTATGTATATATATACACACACACACACACACATATATATATAGGCTATTTTTTTTTTTTTTTATCTAAGGCACTTTCTTGTAAACTATATATGTATATACTAGTATATATAGTATGTATTAGATATATAATATATATACTATATCAAATTTAAACACAAAATAAATTGCAAAGAAATATTCAAGGGAATGTCTTATATATTTTACTATTACGACATTAACAAAGAATGACAATATCTTTCTTAGTCTTCCTCCCCCCAATGGAATGAGCACAACAAGGTACTAATACCACCATTAAAAGGAAAAAAAACTAAGGAAGATGTGCCAAAATACAAGTTACATGTTAGCCTATGTATTATCTCTAATAAATCTCATAAATCCTTGAAGGTCCGGAGGAATTTCCGTTGATGGTGGTGGAAAAGAAGCTTGTTCATTACCACTTCCGGGCAAAGCAACATCATGCGCAAGTTCCGCTAGCATTTCTTCATAAGCTTCATCTATCTCCAGTTGTGATTCTGCAAGTCCAAAATTTCTTCTTTCCGAACGGATCCAATCTCTGAAGAGTACTGATTTTTCCAAGCTCTACCTCATAGCCGCTCTATGGTCACCGATTTGAAGTCTCGCTTGACTGAATGCGCTCTCCGATGCCACTGTTGAATCTTGAACACCTAAAATATCTCGAGTCATCCTTGAAAGAACCAGATAGTGTTTTTGTTTGTCCTTCCATCATTCCAAAACATCGAAGGAGCCGTCGGGATTCTCTGATTCAAGTCCCTGCGACAAATAAACTTGAAGCTCATTTAGTTGTGAACTATCACCAAAATTATCACCTTGAGAACCCCTGAACTCCGTCCAAGAACTAAGGGCTTTTAGGCCCGCAGTTCTTTTAGATGCTTGCGAACTAGACGAAGTAGGAGTTGGAACATTTGGTCTAGCTTGATCTAAGGCAAGTTGATAAGCATTATAAATAGTTTGAGCATTTATTTTAATTGAGGCTTTTGCATCTCCAAGTGTAGAAAATTCCTCAGCTGAAGTGATAAAGCGTTATAAATTTTGAATATCAAAAGTGAGGACCTCGTAATTTCATTGTAGGATTTAACAATGCAGCAACACCAAAAATAGGGGGATAGGGAAAAAATATTTTTTAAACTTAGCTTTCATAGAACTAATAGCTTCTTGATAAATTACTCCACCCTCTGAAAATTGAGTAAATAAATCTACAAGTGCTGCAATATAAATTAAACAGTTAGAAATAGTAGGATAATATTGGCCAGATAATTCATTTGTAGCAATATGAAATTGTTCTAAAAAGTCTACAAGCATTTTAACATTACTCCAATCTTGATTTGTAAGGTGCTCATCATCATCATCATCACTATCACCTACACGAGCATTATACGTCGCGCTTATTGGGTTCCTATATTCATATGCAACAACTAAACTTTCATACATGTAATTCCATCTAGTCGGACAAGGTTTAGGAACCTTTCTTTCTCTAAGGCCAAATTCATCACATTTTTTAAAATAGTCTTTAAGTCTACTTCTACGGTTTGAATAAAAAAACCAATTAAGAGCCATTTTAAACTTTTCAATTTCTACATTTAAAACTTTCATACCAGCACCGACGATTAAATGGTAAATATGACAAATACATCTAACATGAAAAATATTACTAAATGCAAGATTTAGTGTAGTTGTAAGCAAGCTTATAGTATTAGTGTTACTAGAAGCATTATCCATTAAAACCGACATAATTTTATCTCTAACNGATTCATGTTTATATTTATAAATATCGTTCTTTACGGTTGCGCGAGGCCATCCTTTATAAGTAGGATTAAAAACTCTTCTAATATAATGCACAAAATGAGGGTTAGAAGGAAAACTATAGGATAAGCACATAACAGTAACCATTTTTGCCAATTCTTCACGATCTTTATTTGGATCATAATATAAAATACCACCGGTAACAGTGTTAATTCCCGGTTGAACTAGATTTGAACTTGTACTAGGGTTAACCGTACTATCTACACTTGTCCCCTCTTGCGCAGCTTTCATTTGTAAAAATCTAGCTTTATTTCTAGGGTGTTTCAATATGTGTCTAGTCAAACTACCCGTACCGCTACGGTCTCCAGTAAATTTATGAACTAATTGAGACCCACAAGTTTTACACTTAACCTTATTTTATTCTCTTAGTTGAGTAAAAAAATGTCAAACAAGAGATGTTTCGGGCCGTTTAGAAGGTTGTCTATTAAAAGTAGGGGTTACTACAGGAGGGTCAGGCGGGGCATCAGTTGGGTTATTAATAGGACTAGTAGGTGTATCATCTAAATCCGTTTGCGTTTCATCTAAATCATCATTTTCCTCATCACTTTCAAAGATAGTTTCATTAGGATAAAGAGCTTTCATAACTTCTTCATTTAATTGTTGACCCGATGCAACATCATGGCAAAATTGACTATTGAAAAATTGAAAATAAGGGTTATCACTATCAAGAATAATAGGTGGAGGAGGACGGGTAACAGGTCTGGGTCGGGGAGCCGGGGAAAAAGTAGTAGCTTGGCTACTAGATTCACCAATTTTAGATTTTTCCTTACCCTTACCACCAAAAACATTTTTCAAAGAAAATGTAATATTAATTATAATTATACTAAATAAAACTAACAAAACTATAATATTAAAACTTAAGAGTTGGAACGAGTTTACCGAATTGACGAACAACTTCTTGAAAATTGAATATCGTTGAAGACTTGAAGACTTGAATACTTCAATTCACCAACTTCACAATTTTTCACGAAATTGCAATAATAAAGTAAGCAATTATAGAAGAAAATTAGAGAGAGATTGATGAATTTGTGAGTAAAAATGAAAGAATGAGGGTATTTATAGTTGAGAATTGGGACAAAATGTAATTATAAAAAGTTTGGGGTTAAAGCAAAGTTTGGGGGCCAAATGGCTATTTTTTAAAGTGCATAACGGACCAATTTTGAAGCCCAACGGTCAGATTTTAAAATCTAGCCGTTGGGCATTTTAAAAAATTAAAATTAAAAAATAGTCTTTGGGGCCCGTTTGGCCCTGTTGAACCGGCCCAGGCCCCCTGCCGGTCCCGGGCTTAACGATCCCGGGCTCACGGGCTATTTGTGTTGAACCGGCCCGTCACGGGCTTTTGCACCACTTAAGCCCAGGCCCACTTGATCCGGCCCATTAGGCTCGTTAGGCCTGTTTGGACCGCGGTCTTGGGCCGGTCCTGGGCCAGTCCCGGGCCCAGACCAGCCCACAGTACAGCCTTAGGTGTGATCGATCATAAGAGAATTGAGGAAAATAAAACAAAAAATGGTAAGGCCCTACCATGGCTAAATACGTAACTAAAAATGAAAGTACCTCATCTAATTTAAAACGGACGGACTAATTTTTTTGCGTTGTTCTAATGTGCTTGTTCCCTTCTTTTTTTTTACTCCTGACAAATCTTCGTAAAATAACTGCGATGATAGTCATCATAGTCGTGATTGCTAATGGATCATTTTAGAAAGATTTTTGCAACCAATCTCCATAAAGGATCTCGCTTAATTAATCATAATAGACGAATTGTTGTCACAATACACTCTTTTTTTTTTTTTAGCTGTGAGCTTTAAATTAGTAGAGCAATCAAATACGTCGGTCTTTTCAGAAAGGGAAGTCCCAGGTCTTTGTCCCCCACTACTTCTCCACTTCCACTTCTCGTTGAAGGGGACATACATATAGCAAGCAAGTTAACCTAATTAGATATTTAGATTGGTTAATTTACTGTGTACATACAAGATAATTTTCTTTCTCCCACCTGCAAGTTGCATGCTAGTGGCCATTCATACTTCTTTTCCATGGCCCCATAATATTTTTTAAATAATTAATTATCTAATCGTACTGTTTATTAGAATAAGTTGATCTTCTTTTTAATTCCAAAACACTACATTGTTAGCTTCCTCATGAGTAGAGTTACTATAGTTTATATCTCAGTATCATGCTCTTATATATTTACTACGGTGTAATTCTGTTATACCCTTCCTCTGTTTTAATGGTCAGAATGTTGTTACCCATCGCCGTATTATCACTTACAGCTTAAAGATTTTCATAATTTTACGCTATTATAGGCGTATAGCATGTCTCGACAATAATACATATTCCATTACAGGTGTCGTAATTGATACTTTGATAGTAAATCAAGCAGAGCAATTAACACTGTATATGATTGTAATTGTAATTAGAAGCTATGGGTCAATTGAACCCAGAACTTTCGCTCATACCTTATATTTTTGTCCAAAATTTCATCAAATATGTACAAATAACAAATTTTGAAATCATTAAATTAAACGAAATGTAGTAAAATTGCAAATCTGAAAGTTTAAATCTGGAATGGGCCTATGTCTTCCACCAATAATGAAAACCTGTGAGTAAAATTGCGATACAACCCCTCTATTGGCTGACAGTACATAAAAACCAAAAGCAAGCAAACGCCGAATTTTGATCAAGCAGCATCTAACTAGACGAATAGTAACCTCGAGATCTTTTACAAAACCTACTATTTACATAGTACCCCTTCTACATATAAACCCAAGGATGTGTCGTAACCGTTAACAAAGTGAGTAAAAATATCCAAGATCATAATTCAAATCACTAGTGATAAAAAAAAAATTACTCCAATTGATTTCTTTGTCTATGTAAATAATCTTCACGGTCAAAATTATCCGTACGCACAAACTAACCTATCGATCACCACCACATTTTTTTTTACCCCTACTCATTTATTGCACTCAACTTCGCCGTGAACTTCTTTCTCCTGGCGCTGCCACCCCGATTGTTTCTCCCTCTAGAACCACTGTTATCCACCACTTTCTTGGAAAATTTTCCACCACCTTTTTCAAATAGAATTAAACATTTCTCACCGTCACCACTATTATTTAACGCAGAACTAGCCTTCACAGCTAATGCAGCCATTTCCTCAGCCTGAAGCCTACATTTCAGTCGGCTCAAAGGCAGAGCAAAATATAGTTGACCTAGTTGAAGCTCTTCTTCGGCACTAATGGCAGAAACTACGTCTCCGAAATCCATTTCGTCGGAGTTACAAATAAAGATTGTAGGGTCATTTTGTAACAAGTATGAAGCCTTCACTGGATAAGAGAACTCTTGTAACCTTCCGTCATGTAGTATTAATTTGACAGTAGCAACTGATGTCGATTCGTATGAACTGCATATGCCCATTATTCTGGTTATATATACGCTCCACCACACTTTAAGTAAAAAAAGATTAAAGCATATGAATGGATGAAGGAAAGAGTTAATTATGCTTATTTGAAGAGACTGAACAGAGAGAGAAGTAAGAGTAGAGGTATATATAGGAGGGGGGAAAGTATTGAGTCGTGGACCAGGAAGCCACCTCAATTTTATCATGTGGCATAAGAAATATTTAAATTAATACTAAACCGTAAATGGAAGTGCTTAAAATTATTTAAGGTCAACTTCATAATTCTCTAAAAAGTTATTTATCTTGACAATGAGTATAACTTAAAAGGAAAAAATTTCAAAATTTATTCATCTAATGTACCAAATAAGTATCTCAAATTTATCTTGCATTATACTTTAGGATCCTTCATATCTCTTTCATTAGTTAACTGTCTCGTATTTGCTTATCATTTTAATGGAGCTCAAGGGTGGATTGAGTGGAGATTTTATGTATCAAAATAATTTGAGATAAACGTCCAAATTTATCTTTAAACTTTAATTAGACTATGATTAAAAACTACCCTTCATTATATTTCAAGTTAGAGCTATGTTATGATAAAGACAAATATGAGAAATGACAAGAGTATGCATAGGCTTAAAGTACAACCAAGGATAAAATTAAAATATTTTGCATTATACAGGAATATTTGTTCCCTTTTTACCTTTTACTTAAATACATGTTTTTATAGTGTCAATGTAAATCCAGTAACTAAAATCGAACGACAATGGCTTTATTATTATTACTACTGTTATAAAATAAAGACTTTAAAGTAAAAACAACTATAGAGAGAAACTGATATATTATTCGAATTCAAACTGACGTGCATAATGAACTGAAATCTCTTCTATTTGTAGAAGAAAGGAACCTGTTGCGTAAGCTGCTACTATACCAGATATGAATAATCTTCTACTGAGAGCAATGTTTATCCATAACGGAGTACTGAAAAGATAAGTTTATTATACTCGGTGTGGATAATCTTCTACCGGTGATAATGTTTATCCATAACTGGGTACTGGAAGGATAAGCTCATTATACCCGGTATGGATAATCTTTTACCGGGAGTAATGTTTATCCATAACTGGGTACTGAAAGGATAACCTTATTATACCCGGTATGGATAATCTTCTACTGGGGGTAATGTTTATCCATAACCGGGTACCGAAGTGATAAGCTTCTTCAGGAAGCTTATTTCCAATATAGTACTAAATAGATAAACATATTTACGGTGGAGTCCCATATGGATAAGCTTCTTCAGGAAGCTTATTTACAACGGAGTACTAAATGAACATCCATAATATAATATATTTATAACACTCCCCCTTGGATGTTCATTAAAAGATAATGTGCCTCATTAAAACCTTACTAGGAAAAACCACGTGGGGAAAAATCTCAGTGAAGGAAAAAGAGTGCACATATTTAGTAAGACGCATTGCTAGGTGCCTCATTAAAAACCTTATAAGGAAAACCCCATGAAAAAAACTTTAGTAAGGCAAAAAGAGTGCATCGCGTACTTTACTCCCCCTGATGAAAACCTTGTTTCAAATATTTGAGTCTTCGCATTCCAATCTTGTATACCATCTTCTCAAATGTTGAAGTTGGCAAAGATTTAGTGAATAAATCTGTTGGATTATCACTTGAACGGATTTGTTGCACATCAATGTCACCACTTTTCTGAAGATCGTGTGTGTAGAATAATTTTGGTGAAATGTGCTTCGTTCTATCTCCTTTTATAAATCCTCCCTTCAATTGGGCTATGCATGCAGCATTGTCTTCGTATAAAATTGTGGGTCTTTTCTCACATTCCAAACCACATTTTTCTCGAATAAAATGAATTATTGATCTCAACCATACGCATTCCCTACTTGCTTCATGAATAGCTATTATCTCAGCGTGATTTGAAGAAGTAGCAACAATAGATTGCTTTGTGGAGCGCCATGATATGATAGTACCTCCATATGTAAATACGTAGCCGGTTTGAGATCGAGCTTTATGGGGATCAGATAAATAACCTGCATCTGCATAACCAACAAGGTCTGCACTATCTTTGTTAGCATAAAACAAACCCATATCAAGAGTTCCCTTTAAATATCGCAATATATGCTTAATCCCGTTCCAATGTCTCCGTGTAGGAGAAGAACTATATCTTGCTAGTAAATTAACAGAAAATGCTATGTCAGGCCTTGTAGCATTAGCAAGATACATTAGTGCACCAATTGCACTGAGATAGGGTACTTCGGGACCAAGGAGTTCCTCGTCCTCTTCTGGAGGTCGGAACAAATCCTTATTCACTTCAAGTGATCGAACAACCATTGGTGTACTCAATGGGTGCGCTTTGTCCATGTAAAAGTGTTTTAAGACCCTTTCTGTATAGGCAGATTGATGGATAAAGATCCCGTCTGATAAATGTTCAATTTGCAGACCAAGACAAAGTTTTATCTTTCCAAAATCTTTCATCTTAAATTCTTTCTTAAGATATTCAATTGCCTTTTGGAGCTCTTTTGGAGTTGCAACAAGATTTATGTCATCAACATAAACAGCAAGTATAACAAATTCTGATGCTATTTTCTTTATAAAAATACATGGACAAATAACATCATTTATGTAACCTTCTTTCAGCAAATATTTACTAAGGCGATTATACCATATGCGCCCAGATTGCTTTAAACCGTACAAAGATCTTTGTAATCTGATTGAATACATTTCCTGAGATTTTGCTTCAGGCATTTTAAATCCTTCAGGGATTTTCATATAAATTTCATTATCAAGTGAACCGTACAGATAAGCTGTAACTACATCCATTAGATGTATTTCAAGCTTTTCATGTAGTGCTAAACTGATGAGATATCGAAATGTTATGGCATCCATAACAGGTGAATATGTTTCATCAAAATCGACTCCAGGTCGTTGTGAGAATCCTTGTGCAACAAGGCGAGCTTTGTATCTTTCAACTTCATTTTTATCATTCTTTTTTCGCACAAAAACCCATTTATGACCAACTGGTTTTATACCAGCAGGTGTTTGGACTACTGGTCCAAAGACCTCTCTTTTAGCAAGTGACTTCAATTCCGATTGAATTGCCTCTTGCCATTTTGGCCAATCAGATCTTTGTCGACATTCTTCGACAGATCGAGGTTCAAGATCCTCACTATCTTGCATAATATTAAGTGCAACATTATATGCAAAAATATTATCCACCACTATTTCAAATCGATTTAAATTAATCCCATCACCGTTCGAACTTATTAAAAGTTCCTCACTCACATGAGCTTCGGGTTCATTGATTTCTTCAGGAATCTCAGAACTAATCAGATTTTGGGTCTCTTCAGGAGATCCCTTCATAGTATCGTTTTGATCATTTGTCGATTTTCTTTTTCGAGGATTTCGATCCTTAGAACCCAAAGGCCTACCACGCTTCAGGCGTGCTTTAGGTTCACTAGCTCTCATGCTAGTAGATGGTCCTACTGGGACATCAATTCGGATAGGCACATTCTCTGCTGGGATATGTGACTTAGTTATCCTTTTCAAATCAGTAAATGCGTCTGACATTTGATTTGCTATATTCTGTAAATGGATGATCTTCTAGACCTCCTGATTACATATATGGGTACGGGGATCAAAGTGAGATAATGATGAAACTTTCCACACAATTTCTCTTTTGATTTCCTTTTTCTCTCCCCCTAATTGTGGGAAATTTGTTTCATCAAACCGATAATCTGCAAATCGATCAGTAAATAACTCTCCTGTCAATGGTTCAAGATAGCGAATAATAGAGGGTGATTCAAACCCAACATATATTCTTATCCTTCTCTGTGGTCCCATCTTACTACATTGTGGTGGTGCTACTGGCACATATACA